TAAATACATATATATATATATATATATATATATATATATATATATATATATATATATATATATATACTGTGTCATGCTTAATAAGCAACACCAGTGAACAAATTACTCTGCAGCAAGATTCAAATTGGCCAGCTCACCTCAGGCCCTCGTCTGTCTGGCTGATAATGGATAAGTCAGTTTGCATTTAACCTACACTCAAGTCACACTAGAATGGAAGGCGTGGGCTATTTGATTTGACCTTGATCTCACAAAATACATTGTATTTTCAAGGACTCTCAAGATAATGGCTAATTGAAAAGTACAGCGTCAATTCTAAGCTCGCTTTTGGGAAAGTTAGCATTTTAATTAAAGATGTTATAAAGAAAATTCATCATTCAAAGATAATGAAATTTATAAATTTTAAAAAAAAATAAATAAATATAACAAAAACTAATCAGCAATAAATATGTAAATAAATAAAAGACAAAAAAAACTAAAACATACTGTATGATGTGAGGGTCAATTCTGGAAAATTCTGGTGGGAGTAAAATGATAAAAATAGATTACAGGCGTCATGAAAAGAATCCAAGATAGCCTCGTCTTTCCAAATGTATATTCTGCGATAGATATAAGTTAAAAAGTTTACAGATAGCATTCTGGCGGTCTCGTCACTTGTAGTAAACATAGATGTTCCATCGCGTGCTTTGTTGGAGCTAGGTATCTACCCGCTGTGTATGGGGCACGTGGTGTATAGCACGGGACACTTGGTGTATAGCACGGACACTTGGTGTATAGCACGGGACACGTGGTGTATAGCACGGGACACGTGGTGTATAGCACGGGACACGTGGTGTATAGCACGGGACACGTGGTGTATAGCACGGGACACGTGGTGTATAGCACGGGACACGTGGTGTATAGCACGGGACACGTGGTGTATAGCACGGGACACGTGGTGTATAGCACGGGACACGTGGTGTATAGCATGGGACACGTGGTGTATAGAATGGGACACGTGGTGTATAGCATGGGACACTTGGTGTATAGCACGGGACACGTGGTGTATAGCACAGGACACGTGGTGTATAGCACGGAACACGTTGTGTATAGAATGGGACACGTGGTGTATAGCATGGGACACTTGGTGTATAGCATGGGACACGTGGTGTATATCACGGGACACGTGGTGTATAGAACGGGACACGTGGTGTATAGAACGGGACACGTGGTGTATAGCATGGGACACGTGGTGTATAGCACGGGACACGTGGTTTATAGCACGGGACACGTGGTGTATAGCACGGGACACTTGGTGTATAGCATGGGACACGTGGTGTATAGCATGGGACACTTGGTGTATAGCATGGGACACTTGGTGTATAGCATGCGACACGTGGTGTATAGCATGGGACACGTGGTGTATAGCATAGGACACGTGGTGTATAGCATGGGACACTTGGTGTATAGCATGGGACACGTGGTGTATAGCATATGGAATATTGAAAATGTGGCATGTCAGGGAGGCCTATGAATAGATTCAACCAACTCTTATGATGCTATAGTATGTTACACTGAGTTTGCTGACCAGAACAGTCAGGAATTTATTGTAGAAACTGATCACTGGTTTGAAACTGCATTCCTTAAACCAATAACAGTTTAAAACTGTTTTCTTCAAAAGTATAACCAGTCTAAAACAGTATTTCTAAAACCTACAAACTGTTTAAAAAACGTGTTCCTCAAACCTATAACCGTTTTAAAGCTGTATTCCTAAAACCTTAACCTGGTCTAAAAATGTATTCTGATAACATATAACCAGTCTAAAACCGTATTCCTAAAACCTACAAATAAATGTTTTAGAACTATTTTTCTACAACCTATAACCGATTTAAAACCATATTCCTAAAATTTACAAACGGATTAAAACCGTATACATAAAACCTATAAATGGTTGAAAATCCTATACCTGTAACGAATAACTGGTTTGGTGAAAAAAAAATCGGTATTAACATCCCTAATTATTGTAATCATGAGACTAATTTTTAAACTAATCCCTTTCTATTGTTGCTAGTACACTTTCATCATAGACAGTAGACTTAATGCTCATATAATCATTCACATTTGGTTTATTTTTTTTTTATATTGGATTTTAAAATTCGACCGCCATTTTTTAAAATGTAATGTACAGTAATTTCAGTGTTAGTTTTATTGACGTCACGAATAGCCCGGAACTAACTGAGATAATATAACAAGGATGAAGGCCAAAATAAAATGTCGCACCTTTGATATCAGCAGGGCCGGTAACAATGTAATAAAAAATACTACATTTACATTTCAACGGTTGCTTCCCCTGAGATTTCTCCCCCCCCCCCCTCTTTGTTAAGGCTCTAGTCTACACGTTCACTTCGACTTCATAGTATATTAGTAAAATGGGGGCATATAATTGAGTCACACATTTAATAACTGTTGGAAAATCTGGTTATTGTGACATCATTCCGTTATTGCTAGATTTTACTGCAATCAAATTCGTGACGTTAATTGCTGGAATCGATATTTTACATTTATAATCGGATTTCTAATAGGTGTGGGGGGGGGGTGATTCAAATCTAAAGGTTTGCTATAAATTATGTGCAAATTAAAAAAAATATTAATTCATAAAAGATTAATTAATTTAATCATTTATTAAACTGATAAGAAAGGAGGGGCTATAAATAGATTGGTTCTTTTTAATTTTTGGCGTTAAAATAAATAAAGTATATTTTAACTTTGGTTTAAAAGTATATTAGACCAATCTAAGTCTTGGGTCGCAAATATAATCAGAGAGGAAAAAATCTTCTTAATTTAAAAAAAAAAAAAAAATGGAATCTGAAGTGTTCACCAATAGGTTAGAGTTATTGACGCGTAAGCAATAATGATCGGGAACTTGAAACTAAGGAATAAAGAATTTGAATATAAAATGTTATAGATATTGGTAATTTAAAATGTAATAAAAAGAGATTTCCAATTTAAATTTAATAAATATAGATTTGTTATTTAAAATGTAATAAATCGAGATTGGTAATTTTAAACGTCAAAATAGATAGTGGTAATTTAAATTAATGCAATTTTCCTGAGGAAAACCTAAAATAAAGACAGAATAATATAAACTGAATAAATGAAGGCAGCGACACTAAAAAGATGAAATATACTGCAATAAGTTTGCAATGAAACAAATGAAAACAGGAACTTAATCATAAAATATAAGGACAGTGGACTTACAATGCAATATTAGAACATGGGCTTTTAGATGTTACCTAAAGACATGAGACTTTGCATAGGACATTGAACCTAAATAGGCAATAACTGGCCAAGGTATTTCTATTACATCGTTGAGCTTACCTTCAGCTTAGCATCGGCAACATCCTGCTTGTCCTCCTCCTCAATGACATCCGGCTCAGCTACATCCTGAAACACCGTTCCCAGAGCCACTTCCTCCAGCGACTGGAGCCTCAGAAACTTCCTCTTCATTCTCCGCCGCTGATACAACCCCAGATATGAGAAGTTCGTCTGACCATCTGCCTGGGCATAACGAGGTGAAGCGGGCAGCTGTAGATTGGTCGGCTGCGTTTCTTTGGCATCTTCGTACGTCTGGTCAGAGCCGGAAGACGATTCCCTGCCCTCTGACCCTGCCCTTTGAAACTCTTCCGAGGCAGGCACCTCTGAGGCAGATTCACTTTGTTCTTTCGTGCAATCAACGTGACTAGGTTCAGATGCTAGCTGACTACTTCCATTGTCTTGTACTTTGAATTGATGACGCTGAAAAATTTGTTGACTCGGCGTCGATGGCGGCGTCTGGAACTGATCGTAATTCTCATCCTCATCCTCATCGCTGATATCCAACTCAACGTCCTCCTTTCCAACCCCGAATTTCTGCATCTTCTTCTCCCTGGAGGTGGGCTTCTTCTCGTCAATAGTGTCAATGACTCGTGACGCATTCTTATTCGTGTCATCCCTTGACGCCTCTAGGTCACGTGAGCTGTTCGCGAACCTGACGTGGTGGTGGATGTTCCTGGGCATGCCGTCGTCCGACTCAGAGGAGTGTCGCTCAGCCCCATCCCGGTGCCGGCGCAGACTGGTTCTGTTCGGTTTGGGACTTCTGGACAAGTTGTCTGATGGAATCCGAGCTACGCCCTGAACGTACCGTGTCTCACCAGAGTTGCGAATCGTTGAGACGGCTTTAGGAATCTTGTTTTCTTTTAACTGCTCGCTACCGTTGTCCGAAGACATCACTACGGTGTCAGCCGACTATTACGGTATTTTGTTATAATTTTGACAGCAAAGTAGCAATAGTTGATTGAAGGTGATTTTTTTTAAATCTGAAATAAAAAAAAAAAAATAAATTCAAAACTTGTGACATTATTGACTTTAATGTTCAATTTAAAAATAAACTTGCAAAATTACTGTTTGTTAATATGACGTGATATTTTCACAACAATATAATTTCTCATAAACTCTTTATTTCCTATATTTGACACATTATACTGAATAGATGAAAGGATATCAAAAACATTGATGATGTAGTTACTTAACTAAAGCTAGTTGTTAACGAAAATTATTTGATGGTGACACGTAATTACATATTTCGGTGACTCGTTTACCTTCAGACTTTACATAAACACATAATGTCAAGGCCGAATTAAATGCTGTTTGTTTGTCATCATAGGATCAGGTTCTTCTCACTAAACTCACTCTTATAATAATAATTATCTTGAAATCTCATGAGAACGACACTTCTATTTAAAATGGTGCCTCGCTGCTTGATCGATGAATAGGGAACGAAATTGAAAAACTGGTCATGGAAGATTTAATGGCCTTATCATAGCACGGCTCTTACATAAAGGGTATTCGATGGGCCTATCCCAGCACGGCTCTTACATATAGGTTATTACATGGGCCTATCCCAGCAAGGCTCTTACATATATGGAATTAGATGGGCCTATCCAAGGTGGCTCTTACATAGAGGGTATTAGATAGGCCTATCCCAGCACGGCTCTTACATATAGGGTATTAGATGGGCCTATCACAGCACGGCTCTTACATATAGGTTATTACATGGGCATATCCCAGCAAGGCTCTTACATATATGGTATTAGATGGGCCTATCCAAGGTGGCTCTTACATATTGGGTATTAGATGGGCCTATTCCAGCACGGCTCTTATATATAGGTTATTATATGGGCCTATCCCAGCAAGGCTCTTACGTATATGGTATTAGATGGGCCTATCGAAGGTGCCTCTTACATTTAGGGTATTAGATGAGCCTATCATAGTACGGCTCTTACATATAGGGTATTAGATGGGCCTATCCCAGCATGACTCTTACATATAGGGTATTAGAAGGGCCTAACCCAGCACGGCTCTTACACATAGAGTATTAGATGGGCCTATCCCAGCACGGTTCTTACACATAGAGTATTAGATGGGCCTATCCCAACACGGCTCTTACATATAGAGTATTAGATGGGCCTAGCCTCAGTTGCTCTTATATATATGGTATTAGATGGGCCTATCCAAGGTTGCTCTTACACATAGGGTATTATATGGCCTATCATAGCACGGCTCTTACATATAGGGTATTTGATAGGCCTATCCCAGTACAGCTCTTACATATAGGGTATTAGATGGACCTATCATAGCACGGCTCTTACATATAGGGTATTAGATGGGCCAATCCCAGCACGGCTCTTACATATAGGGTATTAGATGGGCCTATCCCAGGACGGCTCTTAAATATAGGGTATTAAATGGGCCCTTCATAGCACGGCTCTTACATGCAGAGTATTAGATGGGAGTTATTTGAATGTGGGTCCATGGCTAGACTGTCTCACTACGGGAGTTATTTGAATGTGGGTCCATGGCTAGACTGTCTCACTACGGGAGTTATTTGAATGTGGGTCCATGGCTAGACTGTCTCACTACGGGAGTTATTTGAATGTGGGTCCATGGCTAGACAGTCTCACTACGGGAGTTATTTGAATGTGGGTCCATGGCTAGACTGTCTCACTACGGGAGTTATTTGAATGTGGGTCCATGGCTAGACTGTCTCACTACGGGAGTTATTTGAATGTGGGTCAATGGCTAGACTGTCTCACTACGGGAGTTATTTGAATATGGATCCATTGCTAGACTGTCTCACTACGTGAGTTATTTGAATGTGGGTCCATGGCTAGACTGTCTCACTACGGGAGTTATTTGAATGTGGATCCATGACTAGACTGTCTCACTACGGAAAGTATTTGAATGTGGATCCATGGCTGGACTGTCTCACAACGGGAGTTATTTGAATGCGGATCCATGGCTGGACTGTCTCACTACGGAAAATATTTGAATGTGGATCAATGGCTGGACTGTCTCACTAGGGGAGTTATTTGAAATTGGGTCTATGGCTAGACTGTCTCACTACTTGAGTTCATTTGAATGTGGGCCTATAACTGGATCGTCTAACTACGGGTGTTATTTGAATGTGGGCTTATAACTGGACTGTCTCACCACTGGAGTTGTTTGAATGTGGGTCTATGGCTGGACTGTCTCACCACTGGAGTTGTTTGAATGTGGGCCTATGACTGGACTGTCTCACCACTGGAGTTGTTTGAATGTGGGCCTATTGCTGTCTCACTACGGGAGTTATTTCAATGTGGACCTTTGGCTTGACCGTCTCACTACTAGAGTTATTTGAATGTGGGCCTATAACTGGACCGTGTCATTACAGAAGTTATTTGAATGTGGGTCTTTGGCTCGGCTGTCTCTGGTATTTTTTTTTCCGTTAACAAGAAACAGGTTTTTAAATATTTTGTAGGTCAGCGTAAGAAAATGTGTGGTGACGTTAAACAAAAGTATACCTGCGTCTTCACGTGACCTTTACATACCTACTCCTGGCCTTACGGAGGTCAACGGTGTGGTACGTGAAAACCTCTGCCCGCCTTAACTTGATTTCATTTGACAACAGAATGCGTGCAAGGGAAAAAAAACAACCAAAGAAAACAAAGGTGTAATTTGTGTATTCTGTCACAACGGGACGTCAGGGGCTGCGGCGTAAGTGAAAGTAGTAATGTTAGCGTCATTCTGTCACAACGGGACGTCAGGGGCTGCGGCGTAAGTGAAAGTAGTAATGTTAGCGTCATTCTGTCACAACGGGACGTCAGGGGCTGCGGCGTAAGTGAAAGTAGTAATGTTAGCGTCATTCTGTCACAACGGGACGTCAGGGGCTGCGGCGTAAGTGAAAGTAGTAATGTTAGCGTCATTCTGTCACAACGGGACGTCAGGGGCTGCGGCGTAAGTGAAAGTAGTAATGTTAGCGTCATTCTGTCACAACGGGACGTCAGGGGCTGCGGCGTAAGTGAAAGTAGTAATGTTAGCGTCATTCTGTCACAACGGGACGTCAGGGGCTGCAGCGTAAGTGAAAGTAGTAATGTTAGCGTCATTCTGTCACAACGGGACGTCAGGGGCTGCAGCGTAAGTGAAAGTAGTATTGTTAGCGTCATCCACGGAGCAGAGGTTCTCAACACGCACGCAATACACCAGTTTTGATAGCAAAACGTACAGCATATAGGCATTCACGGTTTGAGTTGGTAATTTTTGCGTTATAATAAATTTACGAAATAAAAAAAAATATTAGAAATTGTCATTTGAAAAAAAAAAATAAAAAAATAAAAAAATAAAGGGACATTTAAAGGTTTGTTTAAACTACCAGTATTGTTTATCGTGGAATTGTTTGGAATTTAAAGAATACAATTTCTGTTGGACGGTAGTTAGGATATTATGTGTTAGCTTAGAGTCCTCTTTGATAAAATACAGACCAGCCACCTGTTGTAAGGATCCATTACTGCACAACGGTGTGATAAACAAACTGTTCCCCATTAAATTCGCTCTATGGTCGACACGGGCCCCCGACTACGTCAGTAATCAATGTTCATTCTTTATTTAACATGGGGAAAACACAAAAAAATCCAAAGTAATCTTTAATTATCATACTGAAAGGACACGAAGCTTCAGTGTTAAAATAAACTTTTTAATCTACCACTTTTAAGTGTGGTAGACCAATCACAGAGCCATGGGGTAGACCATTCACAGAGCCATGGGGTAGACCATTCACAGAGCCATGGGGTAGACCATTCACAGAGCCATGGGGTAGACCATTCACAGAGCCATGGGGTAGACCAGTCACAGAGCCATGGGGTAGACCATTCACAGAGCCATGGAGTAGACCAGTCACAGAGCCATGGGGTAGACCAGTCACAGAGCCATGGGGTAGACCATTCACAGAGCCATGGGGTAGACCATTCACAGAACCATGGGGTAGACCATTCACAGAGCCATGGGGTAGACCAGTCAAAGAGCCATGGGGTAGACCATTCACAGAGCCATGGAGTAGACCAGTCACAGAGCCATGGGGTAGACCAGTCACAGAGCCATGGGGTAGACCATTCACAGAGCCATGGGGTATACCATTCACAGAGCCATGGGGTAGACCATTCACAGATCCATGGGGTAGACCAGTCACAGAGCCATGGGGTAGACAATTCACAGAGCCATGGGGTAGACCATTGACAGAGCCATGAGGTAGACCATTCACAGAGCCATGGGGTAGACCATTCACAGAGCCATGGGGTAGACAAATCACAGAGCCATGGGGTAGACCATTGACAGAGCCATGGGGTAGACCATTCACAGAGCCATGGGGTAGACCATTCACAGAGCCATGGGGTAGACCATTCACAGAGTCATCTCGTATAATACTGAGACCAGTTTTCTCTTGCCGCCTTAATAGGGTTTCTAATATCTAAGTCCGTAAAACATCAGTTACAAAATCTTAACATTTCAGACAATATTTTCGCAAATAGGCTTCTAACAATGTATTTCCGCAAAGATACAGCAGTTACGATTTGTTTGTAAAATATTTCGTAAAATAAAGTTGTAAACACGTTTTTGTACAGGTTAACACGCATTATGCTGGCTCACATTAACGTAGAAGTACCGAACAGATAATGACAGATTGGCCAAAAGGAATATCATGATGTTTTTTTTTTCATATCTTTAAGAGATTTGCCAGACTGTGCGACCTGATCTTCTATTAATAGATTTTCGCCATTAAATGACCAAACCTGTGGAAATAAATTGAAATGTTAAGAACGGGAGGTGAAGAAAACAATAAATAAATAAAAGCCCTTCAGAAAATCCATGTGAACACGCCCTCCCCGCCCCCACACCATCAAGTCAAAATAAAAAAAAAAAAAAAAAAAAAAACCCTTCAAAAAAAACAATTAAAACCCCCCCCCCCCCCAGTCAGACCAACAGTTTAAAAACCAGCATAACAACAAAAAGGTTCACTCAAATTGTTTTGTCTTTAGATTATCAAGTTGTTCAGACTGAATTTGCCTTAGAATTATCATTAGTTGATCCCTGAGGTTATCAATTTCAGACTTGGTCAGATTTAGAAGTGTCGTCAGTTGATAAACCCAGCTGATTTGTGTAGCAGTCTGTCTTGTTATGAATGCCACCCTCTCTATAATTTCTATATTACATCATCTGTCTAAACTTCTATGCATGTGTCTAAACATCTAGGTGTGTACCAGAACAAAAATTAAACAATAGGTCTACTAGGATATTATGCTCACCGCCCTACCTTATGCCTTTAAAAGTCTATCAGGATACTGAACTCACTACCCTACTGTATGCCTTTAGAAGTCTATCAGGATACTGTACTCACTACCCTATTCTATGCCTTTAAAAGTCTATCAGGATACTGCACTCACTAACCTACCCTATGCCTTTAAAAGTCTATCAGGATACTGTACTCACTACCCTACCCTATGCCTTTAAAAGTCTATCAGGATACTGCACTCACTACCCTACCCTATGCCTTTAAAAGTCTATCAGGATACTGTACTCACTACCTTACCCTATGCCTTTAAAAGTCTATCAGGATTCTGTACTCACTACCCTACTATGTGCCTTTAAAAGTCTACCACAATACCGTACTCACTACCATACTCTATGCATTTAAAACGTGGACAGCCTGAGTACGCCAAGATAGAACAATGAAAATCTTTCAAACGACCAGCCTAAGAAACATCCCCAACATCAAAAGGGAGGAAAATTACATACACAACGAGATGTTTGCACTGGCAGGACAAAGACACAGATATACTCTCAAAGGCAGGACAATGACAAGGACACCAAGATACCCTCAAAGGCAGGACAAGGACACAGACATTGAGATACTCTCAAAGGCAGGACAAAGACACAGACACCAAGATACTCCCAAAGGCAGGACAAGGACACAGACACCGAGATACTCCCAAAGGCAGGACAAAGACACAGACACCGATATACTCTCAAAGGCAGGACAAGGAGCCAGACACCGAGATATTACTAGGCAGGAACCCCCCCCCCCCGCCCTTAGAATTCACTTCTTTCTACTATCTTCCCAGCTAAGTTGGGTGCACCAGCTTTTGGGAATGTAAGACGACCACTTGCCTTATAGATTATTGAATGGCGAGCTTGTACATAACAGGCGGACAGCAGAAACGTTTCAAAGGTACGATCGACAATCGTAGTACTACTCCGTAACAAAAAAGGCTCTGTGCAACAAGAAACCAACAGACCAACAGCTGCAATCCACCGGTATTTTCCATTACCACGATCCTCATAAAGTCGTTGTCACAGCAGCATCGAGGGGCGTCCCATCCAACCTTTTCACATTCTGCACAAGAACATTTCGCGCAAGAATTTGTCGACAGATGGCGCAATGACAGACAGATTCAGCGGGATTCATTGATTGGAAGAATTTTGCGAGCCTCTTTGAACTTAGGGACGACCTTGACAATGTGGCATACACAATTTCATAATTTTGGAATAACAATTAAACAACCCCTAAAACAAACGTTTTTAGAATAAATTCTTTATATCTCTTTATTATTTTTTATTTCATACTAGCGAGTACCCGGCATGCGTTGCAATGCCACTCAAGGAAAGAAAGTGTTTGCATGTTATGTTTCTTCAAGAGCTTTTAAATACTCAAAGTTTTTCTTGTTTTTCCATCTGGTATATACACGAATAAATCAGAAGATTTTCCGAAGCGAGAGCAGGTTACATACATCTGTCTATGGGCGAAGCATGGGTTTTCCAAATTTAGTCCGCAAACTTGTGGCGATTGTCCCTGTGCTTTGAAGATAGTCATTGTAGACGCGTGTCGCATCGGAAACTGTAGGCGTTTGAATTCAAATGGCATATATGTTGGAATCATTGGGGTGAATGGCAAAAGTACATCACCTATTTTAAATTTTCCATTTAAAATAGTAACTTCAATGTAACCAATTTCGGAAGATTCATTTGAAAAAATGTACCGTAACTAATGCTTCGATATCAAAGTGCGTTTCTCGTTGCAAATCAAGAGCGAAAAGTTTGTTTGCAGATCAATTCCGAGAGGTCATTCCCAACTCATCAATCATCAATCGATATGAATAGTATTTCATGGCACTGTCTTTCTTATTCGAATTTCTCAATTTGATGTCAAAATGATATCCATCTTCTCGTTGCCAAAATAAAATAGGATATTGCAATCAAACGTATGAGCGATGAGTTTCTGAGACTCGCTGAACATCAACACTTCTGTGATGAAGAATTATATCACTTGAGTTAAATTCTTTGTCAACTATAATGATCGCCACTTCATCAATTGTTGGTGCATTGTATTATCTTTCATGTTGGCCGACAGGTGTTTAGTCTGCTCTAACTATGACTTTGTATTCATCAGTCGGCATCTTTTCAAGTGCAATTCTATACATTTGAATTAATTCGTTGTGTTGCAAAAAAAAAAACTTTTGCATTGCAGCGACGATTTCTCGTTTAGTGCCCGTATTGATATGACAACGTTGATCGATTTGCTCATCAGTATTCCCCATGAAATCATTTGAAGACATTTGTGATCTGTGTTTGGCATTGGCATCAGAGATCCTACACGATGGTAAATTTGGCCTTTCACTTTACTTTAAATGTTGGCATGTAATTCTCGCGCACGATATTTGTTGCACCGAACGATGTCATTTGGAAACATGAATTGCATTTGCGTATGTTTGCCAAGAAATGTTTCGATTGGCTATTGTCACCTGATACCAACAATGATAATGGTTTTGATGGTGAATGTAATTCTTACACGTTAGGATCTCCCATCTTTTTACATGAAAACCTCGCACAATAGGTACGTTCATTGTTGGCAGGAGATTTCCAGTTGTATAGTTTCTCATTAATTTATAAATCGTAAATTCCAGCGGTAAAAAATGACCATAGTTCAATATCTACGCTGTCAAGTGTGTTATTTAATTACTTGAGAAACCATCGATTGGTGTAAAATGTATTTACATAACACAAAACAACTCCGAAATTATAAGACTCTATTCAAGAAATACTCTTAGTTAAAAAAAAAAAACGCGATTTCGATGTCATTTCCGATTCTAAAATGCGTCACAAAATTCAAGCTTATTTATACACATAACAAAAATACTCTCTACACTAAAAATGTAAAAACGTGTTTTCTCTGCTTTACTACAAATGTGTCATTTGTTCAAGGGCGGTAGTGTTGATATCTTCGTTATAAATTATATTGATGAAGCTCATTTAAGAAAATAAATTGAATTTAGGGTCCCCAGCCCTAATTGGAATATTGTACAATGGATGTACTAAATTTGAAAAATTTGCCGGCGGATTCAGCTACTTCCACACATGCAATAGCTCTGTTTGAAATTATAGTTACAAAGCTCTTAGAAGAAAATATGAAATTAGGGTCACTGGCCCAAACGGAATATTGTAAATTTTTTTTTTCTAATTTAGAAACATTTTCGGTAGTGCGCATTTCACTTGACCCAGTTTGATCACAATCGAATGAATGGTATAGAAATGCATACTATAATTATATAGATAATAGAAGTGTGGAAAACGAATTTAGGACCCCCCTCCACAAATGGAATATTGTAGAATTGTTGTATTACTTCAGAAACCTACTTAATATGTCACACAATCAATTTAATATCACTATTTGTATTTGATTAAAAAGTTATCCATTCATGCTTTAGCTCTGTTTGAAATTATAGTTGTATAGCTTAAAATTATAGTTGTATAGCTTATATAGAAAAAAACGAACATAGGACCCCTGGCTAAAAACGGAGTATTTTAAAATGGTTGTAATCATTTAAGAAACCTTTGCGGGCGGGCGCGCGCACAACATCTCTCTAAAATTTTATCGCATTGTAATAATGTAGAGGAGCGCATACGGAAATTATTTTTTATAAAGCTCCTAATGTATGGAAAAAAACACGAATTTGGGGCGATTGCCAAAAAAACGGAATATTTTAGTAGAGTTATAATGGCTTAGAAAAATGCTCTGGCTTATGGACAACAACTCACCTCAGTTTTATCGCAAGCGCTTGAATGATGTAGGAGCGCATGCGGTTTGAAATTATATTTATATAGCTCATTTTGTAAGAAACAAACATAGGGCACCTGGCTCAACACTGAATATTTTAAAACGGTTGTAGTAATTTAAGAATTTTTGTGGGCGATAGAACAACATCTCACTAAATTTTTATCGCATTCTGAAAAATGGTATAGGAGCGCATAGAAAATTATTTTTTACAAAGCGCATATAAGAAAAAATAAGAATTTGGGTCAATGAATGGTTATGTTTATAGATAACAACTCGTCAAAGTTTTGTCGCAATCGCGTGAATGGTGCAGGAGCGCATACGGTTTGAAATTATATTTATATAGCTCGTATAAGAAAAAAAACGTAAATAAGGCAGCTGGCTAAAATTGGAATATTTTGAAAAGTTTATAAAAATTTAAAAACCTTAGCGGCCGTGCTTTCAACATGTCACCAAAGTTTTTTTTAAGTTTTATTGCAATCGGATTAATGGCGTAGGAGCGCATATGAAAAATATTTTTTACAAAGCTCATATTAGAAAAAATACGAATTAAGGGCCAACGGCTGAAAAAATAATGTTTTTAAAAGTGTTTAAATAACACAGTAAAATGCACTGGCGCATGGACAACAACTCATTAAGTTTTGTAAAAATCGCATGATTGGTGTAGGAGCGCATACGGTTTGAAAATATATTTATATAGCTCATATAAGGAAAAACGAATATGAGACCCCTGGCTCAAAACTGAATACTTTAAAACGGTTGTAATTATTTAGAATCCTTTATGGACATGTTTGCAACATCTCACCAAAGTTTTATTGGAATCGGATAAATGGCGTAGGAGCGCATATGAAAATTATTTTTTACAAAGCGCATATTACAAAAAATACGAATTAAGGGCCAACGGCCGAAAACAGAATGTTTTTAAAAGTGTTTAAATAACACAGTAAAATGCACTGGCGTATGGACAACAACTCACTAGGTTTTGTAGCAATCGCATGATTGGTGTAGGAGCGCATATGGTTTGAAAATATATTTATATAGCTCATATAAGGAAAAACGAATGTGAGGCCCCTGGCTCAAAACTGAATAATTTAAAACGATTGTAATAAATTAGAAATGTTTATAGACATGCTCGCAACATTTCCCCAAAGTTTTATATGAATCGGATAAATGGCGTAGTAGCGCATGTGGAAAATATTTTACAGAGCTCATATAAGAAAAAAAAACGAATTAAGGGCCAACGGCTAGGAACGGAACACTTGATAAGGTTTTTAATGACTAAGTTAAATGGCCGGTTATGTGGAAAACAACTGTGTAAAGTTTTGTCGCAATCGCATGAATGGTGTAGGAGACATACGAGACATACAGACAGACATACATACAAACATTCATTTATATATATATATATATATATATATAGATTAACATTCTAATGTCCCCCCCCCTCCCCCATCCCCCCATATCTACGACGCACATTCATTTCACCAACTATTTCAGAAAAAGAATAGGAAATATTGCGCACCTAAAGCACTTGCGACATCTTTGTTTTAAGATCTCCTTTTGCGCATTTATCGGGAATTGTATCTCCTTCATCTTTCCTTTGACAAAAGGAAAAACTTATTTGTGGTTGTAATGATAGGGCTGAAAATTGATATCTGCTATAAGCATTGTGCCATGATATCTTTCAAGCATCTACTAGAAAAAAATGTACCATAATATCTTTGTAAGCATCCACTATAAGCAATTTGCCATGATATCTTTACAAAACATGTACTACAAGCATTGTACCGTGATATCTTTGCAAGTATCTACTATAAGCAATGTACCACCGAATCCCATTCTATTTTGCAGTATTTTTATCTGAAGGTCTTTACATTAAAAGGATGCAGCATAAACGGAAATGTCGTTGTGACCCAAGGGTGTGAACTACTACATTCATATCATCGAGAAGAACATTATCTTACAGGCTAGCTAAAACCATATGGCCATTATCAGCAGCCAGGGGCGCAGCCAGTGTTAGTGCCGCCCACACCGCAGTATCAAGAGCTGAAATAGTGAGGCTAGGGGCGCACAAACTCCACACGCCCCTTCCCACGCCATCGATCAGCAAAAATACATTTCTAGGTTTTTGGTTAACGCGATGTGTCAAAGTCGAATAATACAATGAAATTGTTCTGAACTATTGCATAATTATCATGTATACATGACACTTGTTGTCCAATAGTTTCTACGACAAATAATGAAAATATCCCAAAGCAAATTATCTTATGAAACTATAGTTAGTGAATGATAAACATCACCAATGGTCTCACAGCATCTTATACCCTGAAGTATATCATTATATATTTGACGACCACACATATAACGGACCACGTCATTGTTATCTGAACCTAGTGCGTGCTCTCCTTGACAATAAGGGCCCTGTCTTGATCACACTCGCCACCACAAGTATCGGGTGAACCCACTCTGCGTCACTATTGATAGCGTGTTTTTTAGTGACGCCTGACTCATGAGGCTTGCTGCAAGCTTACAAGGGACGATTTTTTTGTGTGTACACTTTAAATATTTTTCCGATGTTCGTACATGTGTAGACTAGCGGTCCTTAAACGGTGGAGGGAGTGCTTTTGCTATTCAATAATTGGAACGCAATGTTTGCAAACATCTACCTTTGTTTGTCGTTGCATTTTTGTATTTTCTTTATCGTCAACTATTATCCGATATATATATATATGTATACATATTTGTTCGATTTGAAATATAATTTTCAGAGACAACTAATGAAACGGCGCTGGAAACATATTAGCCCGACACTGTACCATGGCAATAATTGACCGACAAATTGAGAAGAAATAAATTCATTTAGCAAATGAACATTTTAAGATAAGTCGTAGCCATCAGATCAAATTTTTAGCCCCCCTCCCCCCTCCCAACAACAACGCCATGTTATCGTCTGTTGCGTATTCCAATGGTGGCTCATAAACAGCATCTGGAACCGTTACTACCCTGCACTACCTACCTACTACCCTGCACTACCTACCTACCACCCTGCACTACCTACCTGGTCTACAATATCACAGTTGTATTTGCTACAACATGTGATATTGGACTATTTTGCTACAAATGAGATATCGTACTATTTTGCTACAAATGAGATATCGTACTATTTTGCTACAACATGAGATTTGTACTATTTTGCTACAACATGAGATAATTGACTATTTTTCTATAATTTAGTGATTTAGCTGTCGACGAAATCTGAAGTTACGCTTATAACTTGATCACCTTTTATTTTATTATCAATCCGGACAATTATCATTTCAATTTGTAGGTAATGGGAACCGTAAAGTGTTTAGGGCAGTTTCAGTGTGCAGTTGTAGAGTGCGGTTGTAGAGTGTAGTTGTAGAGTGCAGTTGTAGAGTGTAGTTGTAGAGTGCGGTTGTAGAGTGCGTTTGTAGAGTGCGGTTGTAGAGTGCGGTTGTAGAGTGCGATTGTAGAGTGTAGTTGTAGAGTGCAGTTGTAGAGTGTAGTTGTAGAGTGCGGTTGCAGAGTGCGTTTGTAGAGTGCGGTTGTAGAGTGCGGTTGTAGAGTGCAGTTGTAGAGTGCGGTTGTAGAGTGCGGTTGTAGAGTGCGGTTGTAGAGTGCGGTTGTAGAGTGCGGTTGTAGAGTGCGGTTGTAGAGTGGTGTAGGGTGTGGTTGTAGGGTGCGGTTGTAGAGTGCGGTTGTAGAGTGCGGTTGTAGAGTGCAGTTGTAGAGTGCGGTTGTAGAGTGCGGTTGTAGAGTGTGGTTGTAGAGTGCGGTTGTAGAGTGCAGTTGTAGAGTGCAGTTGTAGAGTGCAGTGGTAGAGTGCGATTGTAGAGTGCGGTTGTAGAGTGCGGTTGTAGAGTGCGGTTGTAGAGTGCGGTTGTAGAGTGCGGTTGTAGAGTGCGGTTGTAGAGTGCGTTTGTAGAGTGCGGTTGTAGAGTGCGATTGTAGAGTGTAGTTGTAGAGTGCACAGACTTGAATCTATTTACAGCGTTACACTATCAAAGGCAAGTTAATGTGTTCTGCACAATTCGTCTCGTAAGATAATGACAGTGTTCATGAAACTCTGATTGAGTGTATGGTCGATGCATTACATTAACTTTGATTTCTAAGGTGTGCAGTGCCTGCGAAGTGCATTAAATTTTTGTGTCTTGCAGACACGGACTAATACTGATACAATAAAGAGGAGAATAAACATAGACGTTGAGATGGTTCAGAGAAAAATACCTTGAGAGGTCGAGTAATATTGAATTCTTTTATAAGGAACAAAAAGTAAAAATCTTGATTTCTAAATATTTATGAATTAATTTAAATGATGAATGGTTTCCAACGCAAAAAAAAAAAAAACAAAAAAAAAAATTACTTTAGGAACTCAGCTCTTCAACAGTATTCACACAAGACTCCAGTACCACACTAAACCCCTGGNAGGAGAATAAACATAGACGTTGAGATGGTTCAGAGAAAAATACCTTGAGAGGTCGAGTAATATTGAATTCTTTTATAAGGAAAAAAAAGTAAAAATCTTGATTTCTAAATATTTATGAATTAATTTAAAAGATGAATGGTTTCCAACGCAAAAAAAAAAAAAACAAAAAAAAAAATTACTTTAGGAACTCAGCTCTTCAACAGTATTCACACAAGACTCCAGTACCACACTAAACCCCTGGCGGGAATATAGGGGCCTATAGCTCTGTGATTGACTAGCGGAAGTCAACGTTTAATTCGGCAGAAACAGTTGCAGGGGAAACCCATGGGCGGAGCAAGAATGTGTATCATGTGGAAGATTGCAAACTCTCAATAGCGTACAATGTGTACGATAGCACACTCAATAATGTATCATGAGCAAGATTGCACACTGTCAATAATGCATCTTGTGGGACATAGCACAGTGTTTATTTACTTGTTCGCGAAGGAGACTTTGGTATTTTTTTTAATGGATGAAAAACGTACAATTTGTTTAGATGAACGAAACAGACAGTGCCAAGCTCACACACAAACACACAAACAAACACACATACACGCACTCCAATTATCATCTGATCCAAAAGATAGTGCCAAACAGAAACAAAATATTAAGTCATCCACAAGTTCATTATACTGTTATAATTTAATTAGATTGTTTTATTCATTAATTTAGAAAAAAAAATATTTAAGATTGAAAATTGTTTTTAAAAATGTTGAAGTGGTTCTAATGTCCCAGAGTCCAAGTCTCTCAGCCACCACCCTAACCTTTTTAATATTAATTTTTTTTTTTAAAGAATCCGCTCCTGCATAGAAATATTTGACGTAAATATTAATTAAGTCCCTCCCCCCCCCCAGCCCCTTTATTTCTTTTTTTCCCCTCTAGGATACGACGAGCTATAATTATTGTTTAAAAAAAAACGACTTCTCTTGGTGCCGCCTTTGTTTTTCTTTGTTTCCCCCTTAAGATACACCGATCTATAATAATGTTTAAATAACGACTTCTCTTGGTGCCGCCCCTGTATTTCTTTGTTTCCCCCCCCCCTAAGATACGACGAGCTGTAATGATGGTAAACAACGACTCCTCTTGGTGAGTAGACCGTGCATTAGATGTGGGTCACAGAACTCACATTAAGACGGAGTTTGGGAAAGATAAAAGTGGAGTGGATCTGAGCCAAGACAGTTTTTTTTAGTCGACATTTGGCAAACATGATGAGCTGGAAGGAAATCTGGAGGCTTTGATCGTCGCAGGGTGATTCCAACGGGTCATGGTTGGTGTAGCTTTGTCCTGTACGGTTTTTTTAATATATATTTGGATTCTGCTAGGGTTATTAGGAGCAGGGCATGAAACTGCATACGTTTGTTCGATAACATTGTTTGATATAACAATTGCTCTAATGAAGAAAAAACAACAACTAATTCATATATTTCTAGCTAGCAAATCAGACTAAAATATCGATCTTAACGAAACTGGGCTCTATAATGGATGATAAGCCACTGAATTATCACTAAACAGGCAAATATATATTTTAATAATGTAAAAGATTTTTAAAAAGCGTTTAAAATCTATGCATTTTGTTTTATTACTTAGTAATAATCTAATACATAAATAATATTTAATTACTAATGATCTTTTCACATACCAACTAAGATAGATAAAATTAGTTTATTTAATTTCATGAGTTTGACATTATGAAACTTTGTCTAAACGAAAATAAGACAATATCCTTGTGTCCTGTGTTAATTTTATGCATAATATGTGCAGACTTTTGACAGCGTAACATCATTTTTAAATCCTTTTTATTAACTTCGCTTTTTTTTGTGTGTGGCTTGCTCCCTGGCAAAATGTTCCGACGACTAATTGATAATGAAAATAAAATGAAATTTCCAATAACTGCGCTAAATATGGTACTTAAAAAAATATCTAAAGTGCGTTTGGTATTTAAAATTTTCTTTTGCTTTTCTGAAAGTTGTTGAATTAATATGCCGTGTAAAAGTGGGTGGATCACTTGAAGTTCAGGGCTGTGAAAAAATTTTGGGTTGCGAGCATTTTGGGGGGGGTGGGAGATGGAAACCTTCATCGTCATTCTTTATTATGTGCGTTATGTCAATGCATGTTTTAGTCAAATTTATAACCACATTCCTCGACATGACATTTTGTAAAAGATTTTGTTGAATTAATATGCCGTGTAAAAGTGGGTGGATCACTTGAAGTTCAGGGCTGTGAAAAAATTTTGGGTTGCGAGCATTTTGGGGGGGGGGGGGAGATGGAAACCTTCATCGTCATTCTTTATTATGTGCGTTATGTCAATGCATGTTTTAGTCAAATTTATAACCACATTCCTCGACATGACATTTTGTAAAAGATTTATAATCACATTCCTCGACATGACATTTGATAATGGATTTATATCCACATTCCCCGACATGACAATTTGTAAAGGATTTATATCCACATTCCTCGACATGACATTTGATAAAGGATTTATAACCACATTCCTCGACATGACATTTGATAAAGGCTTTATAACCACATTCCTCGACATGACATTTGATAAAAGATTTATAACCACATTCCTCGACATGACATTTGATAAAGGATGTATAACCACATTCCTCGACATTACATTTGATAAAGGATTTATAACCACATTCCTCGACATGACATTTGATAAAGGATTTATAACGTTGTTTTTAGGGGTTGTTTGATTTGAAATCTTTTATTTTAACTTCGCTTTCATGGGGGATGGATGGCCGGCTGACTGAGCTGCTATGCGACAAAATATTATGACGCCTAATTGACCCACTTCCAGTCAAGATGTCGAGCTGAAAATCGTTGCTCTTGGCATCACGTTATCAAATTTTATGCCCCACTACCCAATAAAACAAACCCCCCAAAAAATCAGTTTTTCCTCAAGGAGCATCAAGAAAAATTCCGTATAAGTGCGCTAAATTAGATTCCTTAAAAATATCGCAACTGCGTTTGGTGCGTAATATTTGATTTTGCTTTTCTAAAATAGTCGGTGAAATAAATGTGTTATGTAAAAGCGTATGGGTCATTAGCATATTAATATAGTTCATGGGAGTGAAAAGTGCACGGTTGTGAGCCTTGGATAAAAATAGAGTGGGTGGGGGGGGGGAGCACTAATTGAGATTCTTAAAACGTAGGTTACTTCTAAGAAGATTTTGACAAATGTCCAGCCACCCCCCCCCCCCCCCCCCCCCATTACTCGCCATTACATTTGTAGAAAGGATTTATACGAAAAACTTTGTTTTAAGGGGTTCTTTAATTCCATGTATGAGCACTAGCGTTTGGATGTGTCCAAAAATCGAGGCCATGACAGGCAATTCAGGCTCATACCAGCGAGAAGCCAGTATAGGAGCTGCTCATTCCTGCCCAAGACAATGAGGGACTGGAACAAGCTTTCAAACGGAACAGTTGAGGCGACAACACTAGACACATTTGTGTCTATTGCCTCAAGCCTTCGAACCCCTAGTGCATGATTCCCTCACAAAGTGGCACTGGACATCTGTGAAATTTCCTCATCAACACCAGGAACAGAAACATTGCAAATCCAATAGCAGCCAAAATGATCAATAGATTGATCGTGGGCCCTTAAGATATAGAAGAAGAAGAAGAAATCGTACTATTTATAACAATTTTATCTGATTTAACAAAAAATCGTAACACTATATATTATTAGGAAATAATAACAATACTAAGAAACTGCTTGTATCCTTTCAATTCATAACTGAAATCCTCTAGGAAGGTAACGATAATCTATAAGCGCTTTACTCTTGCTCTCTTTACGACAACTTGATACCATGCAGCATCCTGGCCACTTCCTGCACTGTTACGTCTATCTTCCTCTGACTTTCAATAACTCTGTGTTAGCTTGATTGTCTCCTCTTATTGGCTTGATATTTCTGTTATTTATATTTTATCTTGTATTTATGCTTCTTAGACCTGATGTCTCCATGCACTCTCATTTCAATTGCAAAACCCGACTTGACATTATTATTTTTTAAAAAAAACGACAACATAAAACAAACAGATTCAAACAAAAAAAAAAAACAAAAAAATTCCTCCCTGGGCTATCACTTTGATTGGTTGCCAAGCTTCTGTTCTTTTAGCCTCTATCCCGATGAGTAATCTATTGATCGCTCTTTGCTACAACTTCATTTACGTTTCATTGAAGGAATTCTTTCCTTAAACAACTCAACTTTTTGCACTCATCTTCTTAACGATCTGAAACATTTCAAAGAATTTTGCTAGGTCTTCAATCTTCTATAGAGGTAAGACAAAGCAGTTTCAACCTCCTTCAAGTAAATTGAAGCAACTCAAAAGACTGAAGTTTCTTCGGAAAAAACCTCGTACAATCCCTGGTACCGCGATGGGACGTTCGTTGGCCACTGGTGGTCATTGGACACAAATTTATTGATATCTGAAGCTTTCCAGCTCACTAAATTATTGTGTAGATATTACAAAGGTTTATCCACAAAAAATGACTGGCTAAATATTTAACAAATTTCAATTTGTCCACGATCTTTTAAGAACAGCTACGAAGAGCACATCTATGAAGGGCACATATATGAAGGGCACAGCTATAGACGGCACATTTATGAGGAGGGCACAGATATGGATGGCACAGCTATTAAGTGCACAGCTATGAAGGGCACAGCTATGAAGGGCACAGATATATATGGCACAGCTTTGAAGAGCACAGCTATAAGGGCACACTTATGAAGGGCACAGCTATAGATGGCACATTTATGGGGAGGGCACAGATATGGATGGCACAGCTATGAAGGGCTCAGTTATGGATGTCATATCTATGAAGGCCACAGCTATAAAGTTCGCTGCTATAAAGGACACAGCTATAGAGAGAACACCTATGAAGGTCACACCTATGTAGGGCACATCTGTGAAGGGCACACCTATGTAGTGCACACCTATGTAGGGTACAGCTATGACGGGCACACCTGTGAAGGGCACAGCTATGAAGGGCACACCCTATGAAGGGCACACCTATGAAGGCACACGTATGTAGGGCACAGCTATGGATGGCACATTTTTTAAGGGCACAGGTATGGGGTCGATGTCAATCAAGGCCACCGCTATGAAGGGCGCTGCTACAAAGGACACAGCTAGGAAGAGAACAGCAATGAAGGGGTATATGTTTTGTTGCACACTTCAAGGGATAGTTGGTTGGTGATTTAAAAAATAATGAATCTCCTGCATTACACATCGTCGAAGCCCGACACCGTCTGCTTTCACAGCATGCCGAAACTGATGCAATGAATAATGCGATGAACACTAAGCACATATTTGTCAATTATCTTTCCAGCAGCACTGCTCTCTTTAATGGTTAGATCATAAAATAGGATTGCTATTTTTTTATGAATTTGTTTAAAAAAATAAATTTCTGAGTATAGCTTTATTTTGCAAATGTCTTTTTGATGAAGATCAGATGGTTAAGTATCCTACATTTCACGTTAAAAACGGGCATGACAGGCTGTCCTTGGATGTATATATCTGATGGCAACGACACACTCAGATGATATCAGAAAGAAACGATTACTAAAGAGAGAGAGAGAGAGAGAGTTGATCTGAGATCAAATCTGACCCAATATCAGTTCAAAACAAAGCTCAATTTCTGCCATTTTTTTTTTTAGGAAGACAAAACAGCAACAACAAGAATATGTGATTTTTTTTTTCAAATTCGTCAGTTTATCTGTACGAGGGTGACTGCGTGGACGAGGGTGACTGTGGACGAGGTTGACTGCGGTCGAGGGTGACTGTGGAACAGGGTGAGTGTGGACGAAGGTGACTGTGGACGAGGGTGACTGGATGAGGGTGACTGTGGACGAGGGGGACTGTGGACGAGGGTGATTGTGGACGAGGGTGACTGGACGAGGGTGACTGTGGACGAGGGGGACTGTGGATGAAGGGGACAGTAGACGAGGGTGACTGTGGACGAGGATGACTGTGGAATAGGGTGACTGTGGACGAGGGTGACTGTGGACGAGGATGACTGTGGACGAGCGAGACTGTGAACGAGGGTGATAGTGGAAGAGGGTGACTGTGGATGAGGGTGACTGTGGATGAGGGTGACTGTGGAAGAGGATGACTGTGGACGAGGGTGACTGTGGACGATGGTGACTGATGACGAGAGTGACTGTGGACGAGGGTGACTATGGAAGAGGGTGACTGTGGACGAGGGTGACTGTGGACTGTGGAGAATAGTGACGCAAAATTGGAAATCAAAAACTCTCAGCAAACGGACTGATGGTATTCATCAAACAATTTGAAGACGGAGGTTCTACAAAATATAGAAGAAGGTTCACTTTTGAAAAGTTCAAAGTGTCACTTTAATCCGTGGATGTACCCAAGACTTTGATAAGAAATATCTCTCTGTAAGAAAGGTCATTATCTTTATCTCAATACGTCTGGTGGTAATTAAAACAACTGCAATAAATATGGTTACTTGAATCATAGAAGTAGATAATGTCATCGAAGAGACTTAGTCTTTGGCCAGAAGCAAATACTGCTTATATCTCCATAAAGTTTTCCTGCTGACATGTTTGTTATGTCCGTATTTTTTTGTAATCGATGTTGGAAATTGACAAAATACTGAATGTTGCGCATTGTTTTGCACACCACATTTTGTATTGTGTATTGACGTCTTGTTGTCGTGCTGTCTTGTCGAGTGGTCTATGTTGGTAGGACTCCATGTTGTTCTCCTACAATAAAACGTTGAACTAACCTTGATGGTTGCCTCTGTCGTTTGATTATCTTCCTAGTGAAGTACCTTAGCAACTTAATATTTTCAACAATCGAAGGCACGAGTTATCGCGCCTGGTCATGTTCTCTCATTCTCACTTTCTCACTAGTCAGTTTAATAGCGTATCCGGAAAATTGTTTGAAAGAAATTTCGTCGACGAAAAAATTAATGGACGGAAGTTTTGTCAAACGGAAATTTGATCGAACGGAAGTTTGGTCAAAAGGATTTTTGGTTGATTTCGTTTTTCAGTCCGCGCGTTAAAATTTTGCGTCAAATTTCTTTTTGAACGCATTATTTTGTTTCACTTTATAGTATAGCCGGAAACAGGGCATACTTCAGTAGTCTGAAAATACTCAAAAGTAAGAACATTACAAGAGAAACAAAAAAAAAACTATTTATAAAACTGTAATCAGACCAGTTGTAACATATGCAAGTAAAAGTTGGACCCTAACAAAAAGGTTAGAAATTCTATTAAACACATGGGAGAGGAAAGTTCTCAGGAAAATATATGGACGAACAAAGGATGAATATGGATTGAGAATAAAAACCAACCATGAATTGTACAATCCATATTAGGATCCCACGATAGTAGCAGAAATAAAAAGGGACAGGCTACGCTGGGCAGGACACTGAGAGAGAATGCCAAATGACAGAGGAGTGAAAAGGGTGCATGACCCTAGAGGAAAACGGCTCAGAGGCAGACCTAGGCTTAGATGGATGGATGGTGTGGAAAAAAATCTACAACTGAAAATCCAAGCATGGAAAAGAAAAGCATTAGTTAGGGCTGACTAAAGGGAAGTAGTGAGGCAGGCCAAAGCCCTACATGGGCTGTAGCGCCACAGGGATGGATGGATATAGTATAGTAAGTTCAAAAACATAATTTGACGAAAATTTGATCGTGTGGACTGAAAAAAAGGTTCGACCAAACTTTCGTTCGATTAAACTCCGTCGATCAATTATCCGTCGGAGAAATGTCTCTCAAACAAAATTCCGTTAACCGTTTAATAGATTATATACAATCGGCTACCACTGACATTCCTCAGTGACATGGATTATTTAAATCGGGCTACCCCTACCACTACTTAGTAACTTAGATTTTTTACATAGGGAAACAACTGTCATTACTCATTGGCATAAATTATTTACAAAGGTTGACCACTGCCATTACTCAGTGACATAGATTATTTACAAAGGTTGACCACTGCCATTACTCAGCGACATAGACTATTTCCAAAGGTTCACCACTGTCATTATCCAGTAACATAGATTATGTACAAAGGTTGACCACTGCCATTACTCAGTGACATTGATCATTTACTTCGTGCTACCATGGCTACTGCCGAGTCTAAAGACCTGCTTCCGATCGGGCCCCTTCCTAAAAGGACATTTCTATGTGTCCTGATGTCACCCGATGGCACGCCTCTGCAGGTAAAGGTGGCGACAACCCCGAGATTCACTTAGGAGAGTTTTATTTTTAAACATTATTTCACAGATCTCAGTTTGCGTCTGGTTCAATGTTGGGAGTTTGCCCGAGTTGACATATAATAAAGGTAAACTACTGGTGTCAAGCTCCCAGACTACCCCCTGGTGACCTTTTCCCCCATCCCCCCCCCCCCGTCTTCATGTACCAAACCATAGAGACTCATCAAGAGATATGTTTTGTCAATTCAAGTCCTAAACTTAAATAAGACGTAAATCAAAATATAATATCCCCTGGTGACCCTTTCCCCCCACCCCCCCCCCCGTCTTCATGTACCAAACCATAGAGACTCATCAAGAGATATGTTTTGTCAATTCAAGTCCTAAACTTAAATAAGACGTAAATCAAAATATAATACCACAGCTGCAAAAAATAAAACAAAAATTATGTTACTTTATCTATCAACATTGAAGCTCTTGCTACTTACCTCACTGCCGTTCTATCTGTTATGAAATTAATTGAAAGCTCTCTCTTCGTTTTTTGTTTTGTTTTTGTTTTTTAATTATTTCCATTAAGGTTTCACCCACACTCCCTGTATCATCCAATGCACCCCACCTACCTCCAAAGTGACGCCCCCTGCCTATTACTACTGTTCACTCTAGTGGGCTCTTGACCGTGGTGATGCTTCTGGTTAAGTCGATTTCACTTCAACCTATTATTAAAACTATATTCTACATCTTCCAGACAATGACAATGGCTCATTCACAGAAGCACCGGTAGTTTTCAGACTTTAAACTAAACGTTTTAAGACATTAGACTAGCTATACAGGGGGATTTATGATTTCAAGTCCCACTTAGATCAACGAGAAAATATGGCGAAAATTTATTGATTTAAAAAAAAATGCTTTAAAGCAGCAAAATATGCTAATGGTATCTTTAAGAATCGCATATGTTATTTATGTGTTCTTTTAGAGTGGCATATTATGTAAAACTTTTATGTTGAAGTTGTCCTCAAATTATTATTTTAAAGCCCAAAAATATAAAAAATAATGATGTAGGCATGATGATGTAAACACATTTAATCATAATAATTTATACACCTTTAAGAATAATGATTTAAACACATTTAAAAATAGTGATTTAAACACATTTAAACATAGTGATTTAAACACATTTAAACATAATGATTTAAACACATTTAAACATAATTATTTAAACACATTTAAACATAATGATTTAAACACATTTAAACAAAATGGTTTGTTTATATGTACTTTGGTATGCGACCAGGTTGCATTCGCTTGGCGTGTCCAAACTAGCGGAGGCGTCTTTGGATTAACATGGCTGGGACGCTACACATGTTTGTTTGGGACAGGACATCCGTGTTGGGGACTTTGTCTTGCCATTTAATGTCAAGGATGTGGCGCAGGCATCTGAGGTGGAAGCCATTGAGCCTTCTTTCGTGGTTAGAGTATGTGGTCCACGACGCGCATCCATACAGGAGTGTGCTCAGTACGCAGGCCTGGTACACCTGCAGCTTAGTTCTTGTTGTAAGTTTGGCGTTTGACCAGACTCTTTTCTTCAGTCTGGCCATAACAGTTGCGGCCTTCCCTATCCTTCCACTTATCTCATCCTCCATTGAGAGGGTCCTCGATATTTTGGATCCCAGATATGTAAATTATATTAAAATATAATGATTCAAACACGTTTAAACAAAATGATTTAAACACATTTTAACATAATGATTTCAACATATTTGCTGACTTGTTTTGCTGTAACTTGATCATTGTTATCCATTTAGTATTAAAATACTCGCCCCAGTACCTACTCATTTATCGCAGTGGAGATAAACCATATCTGTTTCATTGGCTCCAGAAAGCGGAACACAACATAGGAAACGGAAGCAGACAGATAGGAGATAGAGGTCAAAGGTAACGGAAGCTAGTCTCACGAGCGGAATGTGCCTTAGAGAGTAGGGGCGAGGAATAGAGATTGAAGGGCGTTTAGTAGATAATCCGGGGGCGTGTCGACTCAAGGAGGATATACTTTAATCTATTGTCTCTGTTTTTTAGGTAGTTTTTAATAGGTAGTTTCAAGCTGGTTTTAATGATTATAAAAAAAAAAGAAATGTGAAACGAATTCAGCAGTGTCCCTAGGGCAGTGGTTGGCAAATCGCGGCTCGCGAGCCGCATGCGACCATTTAACGACCTGCTTAGGCGTAGTGAGGGGGGGGGACAGGGGGGACAGATGTTCCCGTGCGCAAGCTAGTTAGGGGCGACAAAATGGGCTTTGATATTATATTTAATGTGAAACGAATTCAGCAGTGTCCCTAGGGCAGTGGTTGGCAAATCGCGGCTCGCGAGCCGCATGCGACCATTTAACGACCTGCTTAGGCGTAGTGAGGGGGGGGGGGACAGGGGGGACAGATGTTCCCGTGCGCAAGCTAGTTAGGGGCGACAAAATGTGCTTTGATATTATATTATTGGTAAAAATAATGGGTTTGAGAGTTGAAATAAAGAAAAGGGGGCGCTTTAAAATGGATCTTGTCCCCGGGCGCAAATCTTGTCCCCGGGCGCCAAACACCCTCGCTACGCCTCTGACGACCTGATTGCGGCTCAGCTAGTCGTCCATAAATCGATTTTGACTCCGCAAAAGATGGTTCTTCACTGATTCTTTAAAAGACATTTGGCTCTCAAAATAATTTTAATATTCCTGCTGCTGATTTTTGGCTATTTTGACTAATGAGATCGCCGACCACTGCATTAGGAGTTTCGAGAGTTACGGTCCGTGCCGGGTGACACCCTCCCAGGGGGTTGGCACTAAATCAGAAACATTACAATATAAAAGAGTCAGGTCCAGATTTTTTCGTAACCTATTGTTAGTTAATTACAAGTACAGGGCCCTACAAGTAAAGGATGCCAACCAGAATAGCTTGCCATTAAAGAAGGTTGTCACTAGAACAGGTTTCCACCAGAGCATGGGCCGTCAGGATTATGTTGTCATCAGAGAAGGTGGTCACCAGGAAAGGGTAAACAAAATTATTATTTTTTATATTCAGAGAAAATTGTGTCAAGATTATGATGGCACTAAATAGACCAGGCTGCCTCCAGAGTATATTTCCCCCGGAAGATGTTGCCAACCGAATATATTGCCACCCGATGATGATGTCACCAGAGCATGATGTCACCAGAGGATGATGCCACAAGAGGATATTGCCACCTGAGGATGTTACCACCAAAGGATAAAGCTACCAGAGGATACAGCCACCAGAGGATACAGCCACCAGAGGATACAGTCACCAGAGGATAAAGCCACCAAAGGATACAGCCACCAGAGGATACAGCCACTAGAGGATACAGCCACCAGAAGATACAGCCACCAGAGGATACAGCCACCAGAGGATACAGCCCCCAAAGGATACATCCCCCAAAGGATACAGCCAGCAGAGGGTGATGTCACCAGAGGATGAAACTACTAGAGGATGATGTCACCAGAGGATGATGTCACCAGAGGATGATATCACCAAAGGATGATGTCCCCAGAGGATGATGTCACCAGAGGATGTAGCAACCAAAGGATGTAGCCACCAGAGGATGATGTCACCAGAGGATAATGTCACCAGAGGGTAATGTCACCAGAGGATGATGTCACCAGAGGATGATTCACCAGAGGATTATGTCACCAGAGGATGATGTCACCAGAGGATGATGCCACCAGAGGATGATGTCACCAGAGGGTTATGTCACCAGAGGATGATGTCACCAGAGGATGATGTCAACAGAGGATGGTGTAACCGGAGGATGATGCAACCAAAGGATGATGCAACCAAAGGATGATGGCACCAGAGGATGAAGCCACCAGAGGATGATGCCACAAGAGTATGATGGCACCAGAGGATGAAGCCACCAGAGGATGATGCCACAAGAGCATGATGTCACCAGAGGATGATTCCACCAAAGGATGATTTCAACAGAGGAGTTAGCCACCAGAGGATGTAGCCACCAGAGGATGTAGCCACCACAAGATGATGTAACCCTAGGATGATGCCACCAAAAGATATTGTCTTCGGAGGATGTAGCCACCAGAAGATATTGCCTTCGGAGGATGTAGCCACCAGAGGATGTAGCCACCAAAAGATATTGCATTCGGAGGATGTAGCAACAAGAGTGTGATGACACCAGAGGATGTAGCCACCAGAGTATGTAGCTACCAGAGGATGTAGCTACTAGAGGATGTTGGCACCAGAGGATGTATCCACCAGAGGATGTAGCCACTAGAGGATGATGTCACCAGAGGATGATTTCACCATAGGATATGCAACCAGAGAATGATGTCACCAGAGGATGAAGCCACCAGAGGCTGATGTCACCAGAGGATAATGTCACCAGAGGATGATGTCACCAGAGGGTGATGTCACCAGAGGATGATGTCACCAGAGGGTGATGTCACCAGAGGATGCTGTCACAAGAGGATGAAGCCACCAGAGGATGATGTCACCAGAGGATGATGCCACCATAGGATGATGTCACCAGAGGATGATGTCACCAGCGGATGATGTCACAAGAGGATGAAGCCACCAGAGGATGATGTCACCAGAGGATAATGCCACCATAGGATGATGCCACTAGAGAATGATGTCACCAGAGGGTGATGTCACCAGAGGATGATGTGACCAGAGGATGATGCCAGCAGAGGATGATGCCACCAGAGGATGATACGAGCAGAAGATTATGCCACCAGAAAATGATGCCACCAAAGGATGATAACAGCAGAGAATGATGTCCCGAGAGGATAATGTCACCAGAGGATGTAGCCACCAGAGGATGTAGCCACCAGAGGATGTAGCCACCAGAGGAGGTAGCCGCCAGAGGAGGTAGCCACCAGAGGATGTAGCCACCAGAGGATGTAGCCTTTCAGAGGATGTAGCCACCAGAGGATGTAGCTACCATTCACGCTTCGCCGCCGCCATTATTTGGCTGGTTACTTTGTGAAGTTAATAAATATCATACCCTCAGAGTAGGTACACAGTACATATATATATATATACGGTTTTGCTCGTTCATTGAAGTAATTGTGATAACAATCAATGATGGTTGCTTTTTATCAACTCATTTAATGTAAACAAAATATTATCTGTCAACAATAGCCTGTAAAAGAGAATGTGTAATACAATCAATAATATATTTGTCATTCTTATCTTATTGATTATAACTTTATCCATGCTAATTAAATACCATAGTAAGTAAATAGTGATAGGAGTGTCTGCGTGCTATAGTCCATACATAGATATTATAGTTTCTTAAATCATTGTGAATTAAATAGTAAGAAGACAAAAAAAGACAGTTTATATAACAGACCATGACAATAAGTGACAGCTTATATAATAAAACATGATAATAAGAAATTGTTTCGACTGAAAGTCTTGCTTCAGCATGTTGTGTACATGATAAATACAGATGAGACTGTTACTACATGATGCATGTATGTTTCTGTTATGTGCATAATACATACAGGTGAGACTGTTACATACATGATTTACAAATGGTGATGTTGTTATGCTCATAATACATACAGATAAGACTGTTACATACATGATACATAAAGATGAGACTGTTACATTACATACATGATACACACAGATGGTACTGTTACATTCATGATACATACAGGTGAGACTGTTACATACATGATACATACAGGTGAGACTGTTGCATACATGGTACACACAGATGAGACTGTTTTCTAGATTGTAAATACAGTTGAGTCTGTTATGCACATGATACATACAGGTGAGACTATTACCTACATGATAAATACAGGTGAGACTTTTACCTAAATAAATGACAATGGCAATGATTCTGTTAAAGATTCGACAGCTGATTACAAACTTTCAGTTCTTGATGAACCCACTAATTCTTCCAGTGTTACATTTACTTTTAACCGTTATAATTTTTTTTTTTTTTGCAAATTTTCTCTTAACGTTATAATATCTTAAAATATTTTGTGTAGCTCCAAATGTAAAAAGACAAAATAAACAACCACTATAAACAGATTGTTTCGTATGAATCCTTCATGTTTATTTTTGTGCGCCTTAGCGGTGGCTATAATTCAAATTTTCTTCATCCTATTCTTGGAAAAAACTTATTTTAGGGGGTTTTGGGGTGAGTCTGACAATCCGCTTCTACACCGCAAATTTATTACACAATTATTTCAGAAAATCAAAAGAAAATATTACGCATCAAACGCTCTTGCGTTACTTCTAGGAATCTTATTTAGCGCGTCATCGTAGATTTTTATATCGTGATATCAGTGGCATCATATTTCCTGCACTTTCCCCTTTAAAAACAGGAAAAAGTAATTTTTGGGGGTTGGTGTAGGGCTGAACATTTGCAGCAATTTTATGTAATAGGCAACAAATTTGTGTGTCAATTTTCATTTGGATATGATGATGAGAAGTGGGTCAATTAGTCGTCTGAAGATTTTTACCAAGAACCCACCAAGAAACCCACCAACAAAAGCGAAGCTAATATAAAGGATTTCAAAATTAATCTATCTGAGAAATGGCCATGCAGTAATTAGAAACAAAGCAGATATCTTTTTTTTTTAAGTCTGAGAGAATATTGTCCGCGCAGTCCTTATTGCACTCACTGATGCGCTCTCGTTCGCTGCTTCACCGGCCCTGCGCTTGATCACGTACGTACCAAATGTATCCATGCAGAATCAATACAACTAAGCAACGGTTAATATACACATGGAGTGCCATCTGGAATAGTTATAATAGATGATGCAACTCTTTCCGTATTGTACACGTGTACCAACGTGGTCACAGCTAGTATCAGTGAAAATGCGTCAATCACACGCCGATTGCGTCACCAGAACTCTCTAAGATTTAAATGTATCCACTTGACCGGTAAGTAGCAATGAAATACGAGCTTACTTACATTATATTTGTTTTCTGCTACTCTGTCTGGATATCTGCGGCCCCGACACACGACGATAGGTTTAATCCGTTTTGAGTACCCGTAATCCACGTTGGAATATTGAAAAGCACTCCAATTTATAACCAACGCATTTCAAAAAACACAACACACCAACTACATATGTTTCGTAACGTCGTTTGAGCTTTATGAGCATGAATTTATCAATACAGATCAATGGGGTTTTTATGTAATATTTCACCATCACACTTGCATCAACCATCAATAGCAACATGCGTTGCATACGACGACATGTACACAAACACACGTGTTCGACGTGCGCACATGCCCTCCACAAGAACTTTGCAATGCAGTCCAATGAATCGGTCTAGACGTCTATCTTAAGTTAAATATCCTTTAAACTCTGAAAGCTACAATACGTGCCCGATCGATACAGAGCAAGCAGTTGAGAAGATCAGTCAACGACGCGCCTCAAAGAAGTCCACAGACCCAGGTGATTGTCCTGTGTCATCGGGTCATTATTGACTGACTTCACTGAATGGGCACTAAACCATATTTACTAGTGTTATAAAAGGGGTTGAGGTACGTTTGAGACTTGAATGAGCCAGGTGGGATCGAGCGATTGGGTTGGGTTCATTGACGCAGGCGGAGATTAATATCAACGGGATCAAACTCTTGAAATGACGTTTACGGGTGTTTACCTACGCGCCGATACATGGGCGGATCTTGCTGAGGAGGCTGGGGATCCGTACAAAATTATAATTCAATGTTAGTCTGATCTGACCATACATAGATATGTTGAAATAGAGCATAGCTCACAGGGGTTCTGTCAGATGTGGTGTTTGAATATAACTGTCACGTGTGAGGCTAGATTATAACTGTCAGGTTTGAGGCTAGATTAAAACTGTCAGTTGTTAGGTTAGAGTATAAATGTATGGGGTTAGGTTAGAGTATAACTGTCAGGTGCATGTATTGCTAGAGCATAACCGTCAGGTGTTAGGTTAGTATAATTGTCAGGCGTTAGGTTAGAGTATAACTGTCTGATGTGAGATAAGATTATAACTGTCAGGAGTTAGGTTAGAATTTAACTGTCAGGTGGGAGGTTAGAGTATAACTGTCAGGTGGGATTTTCGAGTATTACTGTCAGGTGTAAAGAAGAAGACTATCTTCGATCAAATCTATGGCATTGCTTAAGACATGGAGCTGTGAGATTTGCTCTTGTTAGGCATGTATCGTCCTACTATCATACATTTTGTGTTACAAGTCAAACTGCGTGCCTCCATATTATGACAGTGAAAAACGTGGCTTTCATATTGTGACAATACATACATGACTCCTTATTGTGACAATAAATACATGCCTCCTTACTGTGACCATAAATGCATGCCACCATATTGTGACAGTGACAATGTGCCTCCATATTGTGACAGTGAAAACATGCCTCCATATTGTGACAGTGAAAATATGCCTCCATATTGTGACAGTGAAAACATGCCTCCATATTGTGACAGTGAAAATATGCCTCCATATTGTGACAGTGAAAACATGCCTCCATATTGTGACAGTGAAAATATGCCAGCATATTGTGACAATAAATACATGCCTCCATATTGTGACAGTGAAAAACATGCCATACTACCAATCAACTTCTGATTTTTTTTTTACTCTTTATTCCTAGATACGCACCTGTATGCTGCAATATTTGGACGCCATTCACACACACACAAATAAAACAAAAAACATACAACAATACAACAGATCGACAGGGGCGTTTCTAAAAGAAGTATGGTCTGGAGGGCTCTGGCGGGTGGGTGTGATGTCCTATTCCCGACCCATAGTTTAAGCAACACACAAGATTTCTAAATAATAATAAGTACACTGCCCTTCAATACACATCTCCACAATAGCGTCGATTTAAACTTGTTTTACAACTTTAACCTAACAACATTTCATAACATAATCTGTAACTACACGTGTAAATCTTCATTGAAATCAAACTCGTTATGTTGTCTACAGTTGTTCTAAGCCTTCCTCCTAACTCTAACATACTCTGGATTCGCCACTGTTATGTCAACAATCAATGACCCAGTATTCACAATGAATCGTAATTGCAGCACAAGTTATAAATAGACGCACTCCCATAACATAATATAATAACAATAGTCATTTGATGACACCGAGCACAATAGAGCACCTCATAAAAGAAACTGTAATTTAATACAGATGTCCAAAGCTAAATGGCATGCTCCAGCAGCAGTACACCATTAACAGTGAGCACATATGATGGCGGTAAAGCATTGCATTAATGTAAAGCAAGTAGAAGGGTTGCTTGTAAAGGGCATACGGTTAGTGACGTAGAAAAAAAAAGGGGGGCGTGGTGGGTTGATGATTGATCCGTCTTTTTTTTTTACGTGTAACAGTTTCCGGCCTTTTCAGCCAAAGGTGACAAAAAGAAAATGATTAAAAGAAGCAAAGTATATTTTTATTTGACCATTCATTTAATTTTGTTGTCGTTCGTCAGTCGGAAGTCGACCATGACCACTTTACTCATCAGATTTATGCTAATTCTGATCGTGTCTGCAGATGGCCTGATGAGGCGATTCTGGCACGAAATTTTCTTGTGCAGTAGGTTCAGAAAGCTGATGGCGCATCTCCGGAAGCTGAGTCAGACCGTGCCTTCTCTAGAGCTCTGCAAGCCTAAATTAATCATGCTATTTTGAATGGATTTTTTTTTAAATATGGGATGGTGGGGAAGGTTTAAGGATCCCTTCTCTTGAACCCCTGCTCACACTTGGTTTGGCTCGGGACCTTTTGACCGCCCTGGAATTGTTTCTCCCCTCTCCTTAACAATGTTCAAACTGACATTCAGGCACGTTTCTATAAGAGTAAACACTGGATATAACACAAACACTTGCTGCAGTGGTGCTATTTGCAGGGTTGGTGCTATTTTCAGGTTCAGCTAGTGCTAATTACTACGTTTCGGGGTGAGTTAGCGCACATGCCAGAGGCATCGCTATTTAAAGGTTCTTTATATCAGGTACCCCTGTGCCTAAACGCACTATACTTTTCGGGGTGAAGGGCCAACTCAAACTCCACCCCTGGGGGCACAAAATGTCTCGCTATGCCTTTGTATTTTGTCCTTTTGCAAAGAAGTCAAAATGATTAACCTCGTATTAACACCTAATAGAGCGTCGCCACTCATTAGGCAGATAATTACATGAGACGGTATTTCGTTTATACAAACGGTTTACAGCTACACAGAGGAACAGCAATGCAGAATACATAAACGTACTTTCACGGTGTCACAAGAATACGATGAGAACATCAAGGACGCATTACATTCGCAAATAAAATAGAAAGACCGGATCAAGACCTATGAGGACTTTGGACACAGCCAAGTATTGGGCCTATACATCTCAAATTAACACAACTGCCAGTGAATCTCTTAAGTGCAGGTGTCCGAAGCACACCCCTCCCCTTTTGAGCCACCTCAAACCGTCTCTCTTGGTGAAATAAATGAGTTCTTCAATGTGGTCATTGGTTTTGGCATAAGACGATAATAGCGATGAACAGCTACTGAATTTGTTTATAAAGATGGGCTCAGGCTAACATTATGGAAGTTCATGAACCGTAGAACAAAAATGTGTTTATATCTATTAAATTCCTTTCAGCCGCATGGCCATTAATAATACATTGGGTAACGGTGGTGGAGGTGGGTTGTTTATATCTATTAAATTCCTTTCAGCCGCATGGCCATTAATAATACATTGGGTAACGGTGGTGGAGGTGGGGGGGGGGGGGTGGGGGGTTAAGGGTGGGCGTTTCAATGCAGGGGACTTGAAGGTGGGTGTCCACTCGCAATGATCAAAATAAAACAATAATGCCTTTTTTTTAAATGACATGCTTAACATTAAAATACACTATTTGATTTGACGGCCTCTTTTCAGGGTGTTCCCAGTGGAGATGCGTCTAGTTACGCCACTTGAGTGGAAAGTATCTCATCGCCGACTCATTTTAACATCAGCGAGCTAACATGCCCAACTAGCCCTGCCCTTGCTACAAACATATCCTAAATTTTCATAGCACCGCATGTAGCACCACACACAACACTACATATGGCATTACACATAGCCCTACATATATCAATACAATAGCCCCACATAATATATCACCACGCGTAGCACCATATAAATCACCACACATAGCACCACATATAGCACAACACATAGCACTACATATAATATTACACATAGCACCACATATAGCACCACACATGGCACCACACATAGCAACAAAAATGGCACCACGCATAGCGCCGCGCATAGCATCACACATAGTACCACACATGATATAACACAAGGCACCACACATGGCACCACACATGGCACCACACATTTTACCACACATGACACCACACATGGCACCACACATGGCACCACACATAGCAGCACCACGCATATAAATTAAACATCTAAGGAATGTAAATCATGCATCTTTACATGCATTTCATACCAATAAAATATTTGCTCACACTTCTACTTACATATTTATGTCTCCGAGTATCATTCAAATCCTGAGAATCAAAATAAATCTCATAACTCTCCTCATATACTTACAGTTGACACATATATCCTTTGAAATGTCCAAAAAATTCACTGTCACCACAAAATCTATGACATTTTCTCCAATAAAAGCACAGTAAACAGAACAATGTGTTCAAAACACTGCTGTGAATCCTTTCACGAGAGAAGCTCACAATCCAACCCGAGAGACGTCCGATAAACACGCTCTCTTGGTGAATCCTTTTGTTGACAAATTCTAACTGATGCCGCAAACAATTAACGAGGAGCACTAAGGAGCAGGTGTCAGAGCTGCTGATAAACTGTTGCACGGATGCATCGCTGTCTTGAAAGCGCGTATTTACCTGGTAACGAAGGTATGGAAGGCGTGTGTTGTTGCTAGATAAAACAAGTGGGGCGAATGCAGGACGTGTACCTGGCCGGGGGGGGGGGTGGGGGTGGTGGGGGGGGGGGGGGGGGATATAAAGTTACCAGGGCGAAACACGGCGATGCTGTACCTGAATTCATGACGAAAAACCCGTCGTGGTGCATTGCCCCTGCTAGATAAAACAAGTGGGGCGAATGCAGGACGTGTACCTGGCCGGGGGGGGGGGGGGGGGGGTTGGGTGGGGGGGGGGGGGTTATAAAGTTACCAGGGCGAAACACGTCGATGCTGTACCTGAATTCATGACGAAAAACCCGTCGTGGTGCATTGCCCCTTCATAATTTTATCATAATACGGATGTACACAAAAGCTTTATCTGGAATTTTCAATGGCTTATATTGTCTACGAAAACATAATTATCCTAGTATCTACAGTGTTACACACTTATATCCAAGCAGAGCGGATTTGGAAACGGATAGAAAGTGTACCTTTAAAAAAAAAGTCCTGTTTTTTTTTTTCTGGGAGTGTCCCATTTTTCTGGACATGCGTTTTGCAAGGTCACAACTTATTAACAAAGGCTCAAATACTGCCCTCAAGTTTTTTTGTGTGTGCAACAAAAGGTGTGCTTTTCTGAGAACTGATGAAATTGAGAAGTTCCCTTTAGCAGCAACGGCCCATGGGGTCAAACGGCCCATGGGGTCAAACGGCCCATGGGGTCAAACGGCCCATGGGGTCAAACGGCCCATGGGGTCAAACGGCCCATGGGGTCAAACGGCCCATGGGGTCAAACGGCCCATGGGGTCAAAGGGCCCATGGGGTCCGCCCGTGTACCGGGCGTTATAAAATGAGATGGTTTTCTAATTTAGATTTTAGAACATAAAATCATAGCCTGTCAGAAGGGGGTTGGGGGGAGGGGGTTTTGATTTTAGCGGCTCTTTAAGGTCAGTGAAATATTCCATCAGCAACTTAACCTTTCTGAAGTTGGGATTAGCATAGTATCGCATGACTTAACGTTGAATTTACAAAACTTATCGCCGTATTAAGTTTGAAACGTTAAATATATTTGCTTTAAAAAAAACGTTCTGAAATTTTTGGGCACTTTTGCGTATTTCAATAAATCACTTGATATATGACTTTAAAAAAAAATGTGTTATATTTGTTTGGCTTCAAAACTAAAACATAAGTCAACTTAAGGCCGACGTGTTACCGACAACAGCCCTAGCCGTAAATCAATCTCATTGCAAGCCTGTCCACGAGTGTTGCAGACATTGAATGCATCAACACAGGCCTGAATTTCGTATGATGTCATATGTGAACAACTGCGAGAAATATCAGACATTTAACACGGTGGCTCTTTACCCCTTTGTTAATGTAGTTCGTTTAGTTGTATTTATGTGTTTCTTGTGACCCGTTAAAGTGGCTTGCATTTAATTTGCTAGGGCAAAACAAAACAAAAAAGTAGACGAACTCTGAGATGAAATGTTTTGTCAAGACTTTTCAACGACTAAAAATGTTTGCATTTAAAATATTCAACGCTTCCATTTTGTCCATTACGTATTAATTATAACTTTTGAGAACAGTTAAATGTTTTCAATAGCTTAAACCAAACTGTATAAAAAACTACAAGCTTCCGTTTTTTTACGTTACATAATATTAACAACACATTTTGAGAACCCTTAAAAGTTTTGAATAGCTTAAAGCCAACTAACAATGTTACTTATATATATAGTCACAGTGTGTCGAACCATTTACAGATGACATGTGTGTTTGGATGCCTTGCAACACTATCTAAAAGGTGTTAAGTGTTTCTACAGTCCAAAAAAAATATAATAATTTAAACGATACTATTGTTTTTTGGGGGGTCACCCATCCCGAATGAGGAATCCCTGATTTAACCTATATAGGAAGTGTTTAAATAAAAACTCAGACCATAGCTCTCAGCTGTGTTCGAAGAGGGGGCTTAACTCATGTGAAACATTTTTTACGTATGTATTTCATCCCAAGTGCAGCGGTATTGTTAAAGGGTAAATGTCATACGGTGCATCGGCATCTGTGGTGGCCAGGGGATCTCAACGGATACATCTATGGCGGCCAGGGGGTTCTCAGCAGATACATCTATGGTGGCCAGGGCCTCTCAACTGATACATCTATGGTGGCCAAGGGGGTTCTCAGCTGATACAACTACGGTGGCCAGGGGGTTCTCAGCAGATACATCTATGGTGGCCAGGGCCTCTCAACTGATACATCTATGGTGGTCAGGAACACTCAGCTGATACATCTATGGTGGCCATGGGGTTCTCAGCTGATACTTCTGTGGTGGCCAGGAACTCTCAGTTACTATACTGCTATGATTCCCAGGGTTTCTCAGTTAGTACATCTATGGTGGCTAGGGGTTCTCAGCTGATACATCTATGGTGGCCAGGGGCTCTCAGCTGATACATCTACGGTGGCCAGGGGGTTCTCAGCTGATACAACTAAGGTGGCCAGGGGCTCTTCCAAGTTTCATTATGTCTGATGTAACTTTTCAAAATGAAGAAATCATTGGCATTCTTCGAAAATAATTGTTCTTTTAATGTAGTTTTATTATTGGTTTATCTTTAAAAAAATTTTCCCCCCCCCCCCCCCCCAAATAATGTGTCCCTCTTTTTAAACAATAAATTAAAATTTTGTAATGGAATATCCAAAAATAAATTATCTTGAAAATGATTCGCCCCCAAACATCACAATATGACGTGGTGCGCATCCTGCTGCTTTACTTACACGTTAGTACAGCATGCTTCTAATAATTAGGCTCTTGTTTATGCAAGAAATACCAGGTAAGCAAAGTCATAACATTCACAGACCTTGTTGAGCTTGGCGAGGACAGATTGTCATGGATCTGGTTCACTGCGGGACAAATTCAGTTGGGCGGTGTTGGCGTCGTTAAGAGGAGAGGAGACATTGATCTTTGGGTTAAAGGGTGTGGGGGGGGGACGACGACATACAATGGCTGTTAAAATGACGTGGTCATACAAAAGGACGATTGACTTCTGCTATTCAAGATGTGAAACGTATTCAAGATAGACACAAAAGATATTCTGAGACAAGCGTTACAAGGATATAGGGACATTGCGATATTGGTGGACAAATGAATAACACATTTTTGTTTCTTTTTTCAATTCTTCAGTTATTTTTTAGACTAGCACACGACTGGGATCACCGCATTCCGTAGGTGTTCTTTGACTAACTAAACACTGTGTGCATTACAGTCTTCAGGTATTCCTTGACTAGACTAAATAAACACTTTAAACATCAAACTCTTTAGGTATTGAGTTAGTGTTGAGTTAGTAAACAAACACTGTAAACTTCACATTCTTTGGGTATTCTTTGACCTACTGAAAACTTTAAACATCACATTCTTTGGGTATTCTTTGATCTACTGAAAACTTTAAACATCGTATTCTTTGGATATTCTTTGACCTACTGAACATGTTAAACAACACATTCTTCAGATAATCTTTGACTAACTGAACACAGTAAAATGATTAAAGCAAAAGAAATGTATAGTTTAAATGAAAAACTTTCCCTACGTCTCTTTCAATACTTCTAATAGGAATTTGGGGGGGGGGGGTTAATTTCAGGACATAATCTATACATTTCACATCAATTTTATCCTTTGGCGAACTTAGAGAAACTGAACTAGACAAACTAGACAAGCTAGAGAACTTAGAGAAACTGAACTAGACAAACTAGACAAGCTAGAGAACTTAGAGAAACTAAACTAGACAAACTAGACAAGCTAGAGAACTTAGAGAAACTAAACTAGACAAACTAGACAAGCTAGAGAACTTAGAGAAACTAAACTATACAAACTAGACAAGCTAGAGAACTTAGAGAAACTAAACTAGACAAACTAGACAAGATAGAGAACGTAGAGAAACTAAACTAGACAAACTAGACCAGCTAGAGAACTTACAGAAACTAAACTAAACAAACTAGACAAGCTAGAGAACTTAAAGAACCTAAACTAGACAAACTAGACCAGCTAGAGAACTTAGAGAAACTAAACTAGAAAAACTAGACCATCTAGAGAACTTAGAGAAACTAAACTAGACAAACTAGACAAGCTAGAGAACTTAGAGAAACTAAACTAGACAAACTAGACCAACTAGAGAACTTAGAAAACCTAAACTAGACAAACTAGACCAGCTAGAGAACTTAGAGAAACTAAACTAGACAAACTAGACCAGCTAGAGAACTTAGAGAAACTAATCTAGACAAACTAGAAAAGCTAGAGAACTTAGAGAAACTAAACTAGACAAACTAGACCAGCTTGAGAACTTAGAGAAACTAAACTAGACAAACTAGTCAAGCTGTAGAACTTAGAGAAACTAAACTAGTCTAGACAAACTAGAAAAGCTAGAGAACTTAGAGAAACTAAACTAGACAAACTAGACCAGCTTGAGAACTTAGAGAAACTAAACTAGACAAACTAGTCAAGCTGTAGAACTTAGAGAAACTAAACTAGACAAACTAGACAAGCTAGAGAACTTAGAGAAACTAAACTAGACAAGCTAGAGAACTTAGAGAAACTAAACTAGACAAACTAGACAAACTAGAGAACTTAGAGAAACTAAACTACACAAACTAGACAAGCTAGAGAACTTAGAGAA